GGCCGGGCTCGGTGGCTCAGCCTGTCATCCTGCGCCTTGGGAGGCTGAGGTGAGTGGATGGCCTGAGCCGGCGGGTTCGAGACCCGCCCAGGCAACTTGGCGAGACCTCATCTCCACCATAAATCAAAAAAAAATTAGCCGGGCCTGGTAGCGCGCACCTGTAATTCCGGCTTCTTGGAAGTCTGAGGCGGAAGGATCGCCGGAGCCCGGCAGGTCGAGACTGCGGTGGCCGGGGGTGGCCACTGTACTCCAGTCTGGGCGACAGAGTGAGACTCCAACTCAAAAAAAAAAAAAGAATTTCTTCTGAAATGTCCACTCTAGTGATTTCAAAGGACCTCTGTTCCTAGGTAGAGAAATTAACGCCATGGTTTTGCAATTGGTCGAGGACCTGTCCCTTTCAGGCTTTAGGAACTGTCAGCTCAGGAAGAGTTGGAATGGGAATCTCCTGAGGTTGAGACCCCTAAGGGCCTTAAGGGAATCCCTGGCTTGGCCTCCTATCTTGGCTTGGCAGGAAGTAGGGGCAGACCTGGTGGAGGCCAAGTACCAGCACGCTGAACCCCGCCTGTCCATCTATGGCCGCAGTCCCGATGAGTGGAGCAAGCTCTCTTCCTGGTTCGTCCGCAACCGCATCCACTGCCCCAACCTGACATGGATGATCCAGGTCCCCAGGATCTAGTATGTATCGCCCTGTTGGAATCCCTGAAGCCCGCCCTTGTTCCCCCGCCTCAGCTGCCCCCACGTGGACAAGGAATGAGCTGCCCGTCCAGGCAGGAACCAGCTTTTGTAAAGCAGCGCTCCGCACGGGCTCTGCATGCTTGCTTTTGCCCACTCTGGGTACAGCTGCCTGGGCCGCATACAGGAGTTAGGAAGCCCATTTCCGTTGTTTCCTAACTAGAAAGTACTTTATTTTATTTTATTTTTTGAGTCAGGGTCTCACTCTGTTGCCCAGAATGGAGTGCTGTGGCACGATCACAATTCACCACAGCCTCGACCCACCGGGTTCAGGTGAGCCTCTCACCTCAGCCTCCTGAGTAGCTTGGACTACAGGCACATGCCACCAGATCCAGCTAATTTTTTAGATTTTGCAGAGATGAGGTCTCACTATGTTGCCCAGGCTGATCTCAAACTCATGAGCTCAAACAATCCTCCTGCCCTGACCTCCCAAAGTGCTGGGATTACAGGCATGAGGCACCATGCTTCACTCAAAAAAGTGACTTCCTGTCTAATACCATTAAGGCAGAGAGGCAGTAGAGTATGGTGGCTAGGAGTATGGACTCTGGACCCAGACTGGTGGTGCGTGAATCCTGGCTCTGCCATTTATTAGCTGTGTGACCTTGGGCAAGCTATATCACCTCACTATGTCTTAGTTTCATCGTCTCTAAAACAGGGTAAAAACAGCTCCTTAATGACAACTTACTGAGTTGTTATAAGGATTAAATTAGCAAATATTTCTGGGCACTTAGAAGAGAGGTTGGCATATATTAGGTGCTATATAAGAGTTTGTTAAACTGGTCGGGCGCAGTGGCTCACACCTGTAATCCCAGCACTTCGGGAGGCCCAGGTGGGAGGATTGCTTGAGCACAGGAGTTCAAGACCAGGCTGGGCAACTTGGCGAGACCTGGTCTCTAAAATAAATCAAAAAATTAGCCAGGCATAGTGGCTTGGAAGGCTGAGAAGAAGGATCGCCTGAGCTCAGAAGGTAGCTGTGAGTGTGTCACTGCATTCCAACATGGGCGACAGAGTGAGATTCCACTCAAAAAAAAATTAGCCAGGCGTGGTGGCACGTGCCTGTACTTCCAACCAGTTGGGAAACGGAGGTGGAAGGATCACCCGAGCCCAGAAGGTTGAGGCTGCGGTGAACCGTGATCATGGCATCTCACTCCAGCCTGGGTGACACTCCCACTCAAAAACTGAGTTTGTTCAATTGAATTGTTCCAGCAAATCAGAAGCATGCTTGACAACCATTCCACCATCTTGTATATATATTATTGAGCCACTTATGACATAACTGTTATATTCTTCATTCTCTCTCTGGACTTAGCTGTAAAGGTTTAGTTTTCTTGCCACAGATGTTTGTCAAATAGATGGAGGCATGTGGTCCACCAAGAAAGTCATACTTCCTATTCTCAACACAAACCACAAATCCCTTTTTATGAGTAACTAAGAAGCGTGTACAAGAGTGGACCCAGGAAGGACATCCCAGGCCTTTTCCTGTAAGCGGCATCTGGTCCTCCAGTTTCCTCATCCTGTCCCTTTTAAAAATCATCCTTTCTTGCTAAATGTTTGCCTCTAGTGATGTGTTCCGATCCAAGAATTTCCTTCCACACTTTGGACAGATGTTGGAAAACGTGTTCATGCCAGTGTTTGAGGCCACCATCAACCCCCAGGCTCACCCGGACCTCAGCGTCTTCCTAAAGCATGTAAGCATGACCCCCTAGGCCTTCACAAGGCTGTTCTAGCACCAGTCTTCCTGCCTGGCACTAACTCTTGGTGCTTAGCTCTTGGCACCGGGTCCTCCTTTGGAGCTGAAAGTCTGTCTGAGGACTGGGATGCTGCAGTTGGACTGAACCCACAGCACAGCCCGCTTTTCCTGACAGATCACTGGCTTTGACAGTGTGGATGATGAGTCCAAACACAGTGGCCACATGTTCTCTTCCAAGAGTCCCAAACCCCAGGAGTGGACAATGGAAAATAATCCGTCTTACACGTACTATGCCTACTACATGTATGCGAACATCCTGGTTCTCAACAGCCTGAGAAAGTAAGTAGAAGAGACTGGAGCTAGGAGGGTGCGTCGGACACAGCTCCTTCCTCATACACGGGCGGTCTAGGCAGTCCTCGGCCTCAGTGCGTGACTGCGATGCTTCCAATTGGCCTCAGTCGGAAATTTCTCACGCTTAACTTTTTCTTCAGTTTGTTTATTTAGGGGTAGGAATTGACATTTTGATGCCTTCGCTAACTTTCGGTTTCTTTTCCTCTTTGGAGGTTTAGGAATTTAAATGAATCACTGTGCAACACCATTATACAACTCCATAAATTTATCCTTCTTGATACCTCTGGGTAAGGAATAGATAGAGGAATGTTATAATGGAGTCTTACACGTACTGCGCCAAGTGCAAATAGGAGAAATGATGAGATGCAATATTGGTAAATTTTTTTTTTTTTTCTGAGTTGGAGTCTCACTCAGTCACCCAGACTGGAGTGCAGTGGCCGCTCCCGGCCACCGCAGCCTCGACCTGCTGGGCTCCGGCCATCCTTCCACCTCAGCCTTCCCAGTAGCCGGAATTACAGGCATGATGCTACCATGCCTGGCTGATTTTTTGATTTATTGTAGAGATGAGGTCTCGCTGCCCAGGCAGGTCTCGAACCCGCGGGCTCAGGCAATCCACTCACCTCAGCCTCCCAAAGGCGCGGGATTACAGGCTGAGCCACGGAGCCTGGCACAATATTGGTACATTTCCTGCTGAGAATGAAAATGTTTCTGTTCGGGTAATCAACTCTTGACTTGCCTCCTAACCCCATGTCCTCTGCTTCTTCTTTTTAAAAAGTGTGTATCTAGATTTAAAAATTAGCCAGGTATAGTGGTGTGCACCTGTAGTCCCAGCTACTTGGGAGGCTGAGGTGGAAGGATCTCCTGAGCCCAGCAGGTCGAGGCTGTGGTGAGCCGTGATTGTGCCACTGCCTGGTTGACAGAGTGAGACTCCGACTCAAAACAAACCAACAAATAAATAAAAGTTTTTATTTAGGAAGAATTATGATTATGGCCTGGGATTGCCAGTTTTGCCGAATCCTTTGGATAGCTCGATCTCTTCCAGCATGTTAATTTTTCTGTTGACTTTTCTCGTAAATCACTCTGTGTCCAGTGCCTTACGGCAGTTCCATTTCCCTAGGGAACGAGGCATGAATACATTTCTGTTTCGACCTCACTGTGGGGAAGCTGGTGCTCTCACTCATCTGATGACGGCATTCATGATAGCAGATAATATCTCTCACGGCCTGAATTTAAAAAAGGTGAGCTGGAAGCTCTCTTCTTATAAACCTTAGATTGGAGCCAGAAGAATACATATATTTTCTTCCCTTGCCATCCTGTCAAAAGTCATTATCAACACTGGAATTCAATTCAAGTAAATAAAAAGGGTGAACGCAGATTTCGTGACTTCCTGTCTAGAATTCTGACAAGGGAAAATTCAGAGATGGTTTGGCTTACCTTGCGGTAGTGTTTGCCAGCTTCCTTGTTTCAGCATGCTTTAAAATGTCTCTTGTGAAAATCAGAACCTTCTTGAAGAGGAAAGAAAAAAGAATGTTTCAAGGTGACAGATCATCTAACTTAGGCAACTAAATATCAAAAAAAAAAAATTTGTTTCACTCGCTGTTTCTGAAAATTGATGATCCTAAATACATTTATTCTAAATAGTAGTTACATTGAAAAACTATAATTCTTCTTTACCAGGGGATTTAAGGAGGAGATGATAATTTTGGCGAAAGCTAAAGCTTAAAATAGACCATGAGATTTTAATGTTTCTAATATGTATCCCTTTTTCATCATCTTTAATTTTTTTCACTTTTCTTTTTCAGAGTCCTGTGTTACAGTACTTGTTTTTCTTAGCCCAGATTCCCATCGCAATGTCACCGTTAAGTAACAACAGTCTATTTCTAGAGTATGCCAAAAATCCTTTTCTGGACTTCCTTCAGAAAGGGTTAATGATCTCACTGTCCACAGATGACCCGATGCAATTCCATTTCACCAAGGTATACATATGGAATCTTGAGCAATACAAGTATATTTTGCTGGACTGCTGTTTCCTATTCGGGCTTTGAAAGACAAATCAAATTATTTTATTATTCTCTTTGTGTAGGATGCATATTATTGTTATTTTACTAATTTGTTCCTCTTTTTTGTCTATTTATCTAAATAAACAACTGTAGGAACCCCTGATGGAAGAATACGCCATTGCTGCACAAGTCTTCAAGCTGAGCACCTGTGATATGTGTGAAGTGGCAAGGAACAGTGTTTTGCAGTGTGGAATTTCTCATGAGGTAGACCTGTCCTTGCCTGGCTGCCCCTCTGAGTATAGGATCGGGTAACCTGAATACTGAAAAATTAATTGGGGAAACACGTTTAGAAAAATTATCCCACAAATCATATGCAGTTACTATGGACAGGGATTAGAACAAATTATTCTCTCTGCCCATGACTTTTAGGCAAGGGAAATAAAATGCTCTCGATTTGTCAGCAGACCATGAGATTTTAGATATGTGCTTTTAATGGTTTACTACTTTTTTTTTTTTTTGAATTGGAGTCTCACTCTGTCGCCCAGACTGGAGTGCAGTGGCCGCTCTCGGCCACCGCAGCCTCGACCTGCTGGGCTCCAGCGATCCTTCCACCTTAGCCTTCCGAGTAGCGGGAATTACAGGCGTGTGCTACCACGCCCGGCTGATTTTTTGATTTATTGTAGAGATGAGGTCTCGCTGCCCAGGCGGGTCTCGAACCCGCAGGCTCAGGCCATCCACTCACCTCAGCCTCCCAAAGGCGCGGGATTACAGGCTGAGCAACCGAGCCCGGCGGTTTACTACTTTTTAAATTTTATCAGTGGCTAACCTAAGGAAGGAGTTTTGTGGGGAGGGGGGATGCAATTATTGTCTCTATCAGGGTGAAAAGAGACAACAATCGTTCTATCTCCTCTTCTCTTACAGGAGAAAGCAAAGTTTCTGGGTGACAATTACCTTGAGGAAGGCCCTGCTGGAAATGATATCCGGAGGACAAATGTAGCCCAGATCCGCATGGCCTATCGCTATGAAACCTGGTGTTATGAGCTCAATTTAATTGCTGAGGGTCTTAAATCAACAGAATAAATTAAACAAATAATAATGTGGGTGAGATTTTCATTGTAGAGTTTGAATAATAATAGTCACCAGTTTTTTGTTTTTGGGGGTTTTTTGGAGTCAGTCTCACTCTGTCACTCAGACAGGAGTACAGTGGCATGCTCACAGCCACTGCAGCCTTGACCTGCTGGGCCCAGACAATTCTTCAGCTTCAACCTTCCAAGTAACCGGAACTACAGGAATGCACCACAATGCCCAGCTAATTTTTTGACTTATTGTAGAGATGAGGTCTCGCCAAGTTGCCCAGGCTGGTCTCGAAGCCCTGGGCTCAGTCAATCATCTCGCCTTGGCCTCCTAAGGTGCTGGGATTGCAGGCATGAACCACTGCTCCTGGCTAATAATAGTTATCAGTTATTAAATCCGTACTACAAACTAAGAATTGTATTAGACCTTCTACTGATATTATTTCATTTAATCCTTTCCACTGCCTTTATAAAGTAGATATTATCATCTCCATTTTGAGAAAAATTCGTAAACCGAGGTTAGTAAGGTTAACCACCTGCACGAGGATACAGCTAGTGAAAGGTAGCAGTGGGGGAACTAACTCTGTCCAACTGCACGGTCCCCATGACTTTCAGGCAAAACCATTATCAAAGTTGGACAAAAACAAGCAAATGACATGTTGCTAGGAGAATGCAAGCTTTTGGTTGATGAAATGAAATCTGCTTAAGTCATTCCAAATCATTAAAAAGTTCTTTGACAAGGTACAAGTGACTAGTGGCTTTCTTAGACAAAGACAGAGTAGTTGTACTCCAATATATGGAAAATCAGTACTAATGAATTATACTCAGAGAGAATGTATCTTACAAAAGGATTCTTAGCTTTAAGGATGTAATTGACAATAAGGTTGTAGTGAGCTGCAATGGTACATTTTAAATGACTTCGCTTACCAAAGTAAAACATATAACTTTTTAGAAACATGCCTGTTACTCAAGGTCAGGTGAAATTCCAGTTAGGCAGATTATACTTCCACACACACAACTGTGTTGCCATCTAGTGGTTGGACTGATATTTCATTCCATTTGTTCAATAAACAATTATTGATCACGTAGCTAAAGCACCAGGTACTACTAAACACAAAAGATACACAGAATAAGATCTCAGGCCAGGCACGGAGGCTCAAGTGTAATCCCAGCACTTTGGGAGGCCGAGGTGAGAGGGTTGCCTGAGCCCAGGGGTTCGAGACCAGCCTGGGCAACTTGGGGAGACCTCGTCTCTACAATAAATCAAAAAATAAGCTGGGTGTGGCGGCGTGTGCCTGTAGTTCCAGTTACTTGGAAGGCTGAGGCAGCAGGTCGAGGCTGCGGTAGCTGTGAGCATGGCACTGCACTCCAGCCTGGGTGACAGAGTGAGACTCTGACTCAAAAAACAAAAACAAAACCAAAAAAGAAACAAAAAAAGATTTCATTCCTATCTTCAAGTTGCTTACAGCATGAAGCTAGCGAGAGTGTGGTTAAAAGTATTAAATAATTTTGAGAAACAGTTCGAAAAAGTAATGACGTTTCAGATGGAGCAAAGATTAAAAGTAAATCCCTGCGTGTTTCCACATTCTGTACAGGTAGCCACAAGCATAGGTGGAACCCTGATGGCATGTTTGTGCTAGTTCTGGTGTAAGAGTTCCTTTCCTGGTTTCTGAAGTTGAAGCTTTGCTGAATACTTGTTAGTCCCTTAGAGAACCTGATTTCATCGTCATCAAAATAAACACAAATTCCTAAATTAAACAAACACTCTATTCTCAGGCTTAAAAGGGCATTAAAATCTGCATATCTCCATCTTACCCATGAGAGGGCAGGAGAAGACACACACCGTGAATTAAATTATTACGTCTGTCCAACCCATCGGTTTCGTGTGTGACACAATTTCCCTCATGTGTGATATAATTTGCCAAATAATCTTCCTGAATACAAAGTTCAAAACACAAATTTCTAAACATATTAGATAAGAATTTTGGGGGTGGGGTGGGGGGAGCCTATAACAATCGGTGTTCAAAATTTACTATAAACAATATTCGCATGTATTTCCTTATCGGGATATTTCTTTAAAAAAACAACAACAGCTTGTCATTACCTCCCCCCCATCATAGAGAGTAATTTGTTTCATTGTCTACAAGTCATGGGTTCCCAATGGTTTGGGATATGCTGGCCTTTATTACTTTGGTTCAGTTGGCTTTGTGACAGTCATCTGTGACATGTAACCCCACACCTCTCTCTCTGACCGACTTCTATTTCGGTACTTCTGCGTGAATACACGTGGGAAGAGTCTGGGCACCAGATCCAGGAGGCTCTGGAGGGGTGGGGTGGGGTGGGGTGGGCGGAATCTGGTGGGGCGGGGCGGGGGGGTGGAATGGGGCGGGGCGGGGCGGTGGGCGAGCGCCTGGGAAACAGGCTCAACTCAGCCTTGTCTCGCAGCCCTAGTGAAACCGGGCGACGTCTCGCAGCAGGCACAGCGCCATGCACACACCTGGGCGAGAGCGCGTTGCAGGCCGTCGCACGCGTGTTGTCCCAACGGGGCGTGGGGCTGACCTCCGGCAGCGGGAGTGTCGCGGCGCCCCTGCTCTGAGACTCCGAGCCGAGGCGCTCCGAGCGTTGTTTGCACCTCTGTACGTTTCAAGTGGGCACGACCCTGCGGTTGCTCCTTGAGCCCAGCCAGGGGAGCGGTGCTGCCGTTTCACTAGAGACAGCAGGTCTACTGCGCGCCGCGCCGGCGACGAATCTGCGGGTGCCCTGAGTGGGCTGCCCTGGAATTCCTGGGCTAAGCCAGGCTGGCTCTCGCTGGGCAGCTGCGCCGGCAGCTGGCACGAGAAGTCGG